AACCAACACCGGGACTCCTGATGAGCGCCGTGTCCTCGCTCTGCAGGTCAGTGAGAGCTGATGGTTGTCCTCTGTTTGTCCAGGTACCCGGAGTGGTTCTGGGGTGCAGCAGCTCCCTGGGTGAAGGGAACCACTGGCAAGGCCTTGGGCCAAGTGGAGCCAAAGCACTCTGCAGTACCAAGCTGTTCCTGCTGCGCTTCCCAGCGAGGTGTGGGAGCAGATCCAGGTTTGACTTCCAGGACACCCCAAGCTCGCAGCCTGTGAAGCTGTCAGTGCTCCTGTGTGCCATTCCGCTTCTGGTTTCTTCCTTTGCATGCAAATTCCTTCTCTCTGGTGTCCATGGAACGGCCAGAGAGTCGTTGCCATTGAATTGGTGGTGTAGGAAGCCAAGAGGGGGAGAAGAGGTAGGGGGAACGTGAAGGTTTAGCCATTTGGAATAGGAAGCAAACAGTCGTGTGTCCTGTTTCTCCTTAAATCCCGTCCTTGGTGTCACTGGAACTTCCATGTCCTGGTTAAATTATGCAGACACCACAGGAAGGAGCAGATGCTGTCCTAGAAACTGCCGTCTGTTGCCTTGTCACAGCCGCTTGGGAAGGAGTTCTGATTCTAAACAGGAAATTGAAAGCAAAGGATGCCAGAGCGTTAATCTTCCATCCAGAGCTGCTGCTGGGACCTGCACCCTCAGGTAGGACAACCTGGAAGAGAAACCAAGGACAGAGGCTGGGGATTGAATTCCAGACTTGAATGTGGGAATTGGATTTTTCCTTCGCTAAATCCCATTTGTCCTACACAATGACTACATCAGGCTGGAAGCGGAGTCTGTCGGGTCCGTGCTTTGGCACAGGTTGCCAGGCACTCAGGATGGATTCTTTATGATGCATTTTGACTGCAGCTTTGGACAAGGGATGTTTAAAAGCAGTCGCTTGAAGATGGTGCCAGATGTTACTGGGCTCTGCTGTGCAAATGAAGGGCCAGGGCTCGGAGCAACCTGCTCTAGTGGAAGGTGGACAGGATGAGCTTTAAGGTCCCTTCTAACCCAAACCAGGCCAGCCAGCACCCACCAGCACCCCAGGGGTAAGGGCTTGGTGCCTCTAGGATGTGCCTTTGAACACAGAGCAAAGAGAGGTGGTCTTCAAAGCGATCTAGCTGAGCAGAGGTGTTCCATGGTGGGGCTTTTAGGCTGGGAAGGGGGAGTTGTTTTCCATGTTTACCAGGGCTGCTGCAGCAGTGACTGGCACAAGAACAGAGCAGAGCGGATGCTCTCGGGGCTGGCACGGTCATCAAACACAAGGTGAAGTATAATCCTTGCCTCCAGCCTGGTGGGTTGGCTTTGGAGGAGATAATCCTGCCACTGGGGCAGGCTGAGGTTGGGAGGGACTCCCGGAGGGCATCTCACCTCCCAGGTCCCATCAGGTCATTGTGTGGTTGGAGATAACACTGCCTTTTTGTGCAGTGAGTCCTCTTAACAATCCATGGGTTTTGGGGCACAAAAACCCAATGTTTTAGTCTATGAGGTCAGTAAAGTCTAAAGGTGAATTCCTACTTTATCCTCACAGGAAACCTGCATCCTTTTTAACTTCACTGGGCAAATGGACACATTTGTTATGTGCAGCTTTTACTTGGGATGCAGAATTTATGCTGCTAAAGTGTGCTGTGGGTGGAGGGAAGGGTCCTGCTGTCACCTTTTTTCTCTTTAGAAGACAAGTACCTCTTCTTTTGTGCTACCCTGTGATGTGAGTGTTCAGCAGGCCCAAAGGCACCCATCCTCGCAGAGCATCTTTGGGGAAGGGCTCATTGCTATGTGAGTGGAGAGCTCAACTGCAAGCAAAGCACTGGTCCAGCTCTTCTCTATTGGGATGCATTGATGGTTAGGTTATTTTCTGGGCTGAAGTGTGTATTAACCACTTACTGGTGACACACAGCACCAGAGCTGAGTGTGGCTAGTCCAGGTACTTAGAATCAAGAGTCAGACTGGGACTAATGCCCCCACAGTGATAGCTGGACCAAGCCCCTTAATCTAATAACCAATTTTGTACAGATGATGTGTCTTTTGTGCCTGCCTCTGCTCATAATTGTGGGGATTCTTTTTGCTTACTGCTGTCCCTTTGTTTCGAAGGGCAAGCATCAAGAGCACCCCAGAGGATGGTACCACACTGCAGCCTTCATTTGTCAGGATGATGCATCAAGAGCTACCCAGCCACTGATGAGAAAAGTCCTTGTACTTTACATTCAGGCCTATTTGCACTTGATATTGCTTGCTTTTGAGATGGTTCCAAGTGTTCTTTCTCCATGTATATAATGTCAGTAAGGGAGGTGGGACTGGGTTTGAGCGCATCCAGCAATGCAACACTTGATGTGTTTGAAATAGCTTCACGAAGCCACAGAGAAGCTTCAGCACTGAAATGGGGATTGCCTTTGTGTTCCCCAACAAAGGGCTTAGGCTCTAGGGCAAGAGTTGGTGTTACTGGTAAAGAAAGCTCAGGGCCCTGCTTGCAAGGTAATGGGGGGGTGGGCTTTGGTTTTTGGGACTGCAGTATAGGTTCTGCCTTGACATTTATTATGGTAGAAAATAACTCGTGCATTTTGGGGTTAGGGGGCTGTTTATGGGGGAGGGGTCTGTGGGGTTTTATTTTTTCCTTATTTCTTTGATTTTGCCTTTATTTTTATTAAATGTTACTTTATTATTAAAGGGTGTTTTGTTTGATCAGCCTCGGAGCCAGAGCTGACTGCTTGCAGGGAGGTGCATGGCTTCAGCTGCATCCATCCATCATCCGTTACCTCGCTTGTACCCATTAAAGACACGGTGCAATTAGGATCAGTCATGGCTTAGCGTGAAGCTTCTCCTCTTGTACCTGTTGAATCACAGCAACAAGAGAAAGCACGGAGCACTTAGACTGTGACATAACACAGAGAATACATGCTTTCTGTTAAACATGGGTTGCTCCCTGCTAGCACACCAGTCACTTTGTACATCCATTGCTGTACAAGAGACTGTAGTCCCCAGCACAAGATGAATGGAGCCATAGAAGAGCTCACAAAAGCCTCCAATGATCATTAATCCATCAGTTAATGAAGTAAAGTGCTGCAGCTGAGGCTCCAGGAGCCAAGCTCTACCCTCCAGCTCTTTGTGCCACTTCAATCTCCATAACAAGGTCCCCTGTAGTTAAACCCACCCAGGCCCACACCATAGCCCACCACAGAGACACAGGGATGGCAATGCAGTGGGAGCAAGCTGCTCTAGTGTAAGGTGTCCCTGGCCATGGCAGGGGGCTGGAACTGGGTGAGCTTCAAGGTCCCTTCCAACCCAAACCAGGCTGGGAGTCTGTGATGCTCAGCTCTATGCTCCCACCTTATTTCACCCATGTGTGTCCATACCAGTGTGACAGCAACACTTCTAGGTGGACAGAGCAGGCTTTCCTTGTCAATAACATTCACACATACTTATTCCATCAGTTCCATTGCCCTGCAGCTCCAATGGGAAAAAGCACTTTGGGTTAAAGGCTTGTTACAGAAGTTACCCATTCCACACCCAACCTGGCTAGGAACTGCTCTACAAATGCAATTACAGCCACGACAATCTCATTGCTTCTCTCTACCCTGTTGACCCAGCAACTGTTTGTCATCTCTCACATATGGGGCACCTCCATCCCCCAGTGTGGGGAGAGGTAATTTTGCACACCGTGCTCAAGGAAACCCTTGTGCCTTCCCTTTGGGCACCAGCTTGCTAAAACACACACCTGGATGAGCCCTGAATATTTGCTCTTGTATTTCTTCAAGCAAAGAAGGAACATCCCCACTAGAGACCTGTGTTTTAAGTAGCAAAAACCTCACCGAGAGGGTGATAAACCAGGGTTATCACCCATGCACTAAGCATCCTGTTAATGGCAGATACTCTAGAACAAGTAACCCTGCCTCTAGTCCCATGAGGATTATTAATAACCAGAGCACATCACCTCCATGGAGCACATCTGGAGCAGTGCAGGAGATCCACATCAGCAGATCCTGGAGAAACCATCCCTCCTGAATGCCACCCTGCTTCACAGCCCCTAGTTAACAGCCCTTTGCCTGTGGGTACCAAAGGTGAGAGCCCAAGAAGTTGCACCCACCGTGGTTCCTTTGCTCCTCAAGGTCCTTTTCTGGACAGCAGCACCAAGCACTGGTGACCTTCCTCTAATCCTGCTTAATGAAGTCTTTTAAAGGTGGTTTTGACCTCGACAGCAGGAAGCATCTCCCCCTGCTCTTCTGCTACCAACCAAATAGGGACCTGAGAGGAGCAACCCCCACGTACCCGCAGGCACCAAGTGCAAGGCAGAGACCCAGAATTGAAAGGTTTTGTTTGGAGGCGACTGAAGAGGTTGCTGCTCTCAGATACCATTAAGGTTCCTTCCAACCCAAACCATGCCATGAGAGAGGCTACATGGCAGTGCCAACAGAAGCCTCCATCCTTTCCATCCCCTGGCCACCCACCCCTTTCTCCAAGCAGATTTGGCCGCAGTAAATCCCATCCCTCTGACATAGCATCCACCCCCCCACATCACTGCAAAGCCAAACATCACCTTAACCATGCCCTTCATATTCAAGAGACCCATTGAGGTGGTTCTTTAAAGCACTTTATTGGCAACCACGTATACCCTGTGCACGGTAACCTCTGTACAAAACCCCTTCCATTAACACCAGAGCGAGCGACAGCCACCAGGAGCATTGGATGCTGGTTTGGCTGGAAGAAGTAAGGATCACGTTAAACCAAACCAGCCAAATTGGCTGCATTGCTTGGACTCCACCAGCAAACCAGTCCTGCAGTTCACAACACACGACACAAAGTATTCCCTCCTGGATGAGCATGGTTTGCTCTTGCAACCACCAAAGGGATGCGCAAGGGAAGGCTTCCCATCTCCTGCCACACTCCGCCTTTAGGGTCCTGCCTCCCACTTGTGATGCTCTGCCATCGAGTGCCGCTAATCCAAAACCTCATCTGAGAGCTCTAAACCAGTGTTGAAGAGGGTTCCATGCCCAACACAGCCTCATTTGTCATCCGAGGGGCTCTCGGGCAGCAGGGCACCGCCGGAGCTCTTGTTGCCTTTGCGGATGCACATGCCGCAGTCCAGCTCCACGTCGATGTCCCCAAATCTCAGCTGGCAGGACTCATTACAGCTGCAGGGGGGACAGAGACACTGGTCAGTGAGCCCGTCCTTTCCATGGACACCCAATTGTCTTACCCACGGCACACTGGATTTCCATAGCAATAATGGGTCTAGGTGATGCTCTTGGCCATCCCAGTCCATGCAGAGCACCGGGACCCCCCCAGCACTCCCCTTTACCCCCACGTACCAGCGGGATGCAGCAGCGTTTGCTGCCAAGACTGCAAGAGCCCCTGCGTAGTGCCAGCAGAAGCACATGGTGAGGACCGTGAAGTTGGTGCGGTCGGTCAGATCCCAGCCTGCTCCTCCCCATGGAGGGGACAGCACAAACCCAATCTGGTCACAGACAGAAGAGGTGTTGAGCATCAGCACACATCAGGCTGTTAAGCGCATCCCTCATCACTTTCCCCCTCTGTTTTAGCCAAGTGGCTGTCTGTGGGCTAGATGCACAATAAACCAAGGGACATCTTGGCCACTGTCCTCAGCATCCCCCAAGCATCCTTGTCTCCCCACAGGAATGTGTTTCAGGAGGACAGAGATGCTCTGCAGGTAGCTTTAGGACCCACAGTGCAGCCCCAGGGAAGGATGGCAACCCAAAGGCTACATTGCCAGGCTGTGCATTCCTCCCTAGACCCAAAGCTGGGTGGTTATGTGGGAGATCCCCAATTATTTCCAGTCACTTGGAGCAAAGAGAGGAATAAATTGGACATAATAACAGGAACAAAACCTCATGATTGAGGTTTTCCACCCTTGTGGGGTCTAATTTCCATTTAGCATGCAGGTTTGTCCATAGAATCATGGAATGGTTTAGGCTGAAAGGGACCTTAAAGCTCCTCCAGCTCCAACCCCTGCCACGGGCAGGGACCCCTTCCACTAGAGCAGCTTGCTCCAAGCCCCTGTGTTCAACCTGGCCTTGAACACTGCCAGGGATGGGGCACAGCACCTCAGCACCATCATGGTAAAGAACTTCTTCCTTGTATTCAACCTGAACTTCCCCTGTTCCAGTTTAAACCCATCACCCCTTGTCCTGTCCCTACATGCGTTCCACGTGCACGTCTCCATGATGACAGCTTTGGTGTTAAACCTCGTTTCATCCTCTTATTTACTAAGATATCCCGACTAGCCTTCAAGTTTAACCCCAACAGGTAATGACCAGGTATGAAGCTCGGCGGACAGCACTGACCTGCCAAAACCAAGAGCCCTGGAGAAGGAAGGAGCTGGTCCTGAAGATCTCCAGGATGATGTGGTCTCGGATAAACACCTCTAGGAGGGCACAGAGGGCTCCAGCAAAGGTAGCCGTGGCCAGCAGGGAATAGAGGTGATGGTCCAGCGCTGCATCGCTGTAGTCACAGAAGCAGAAGAGCAAACCTGCCAAGAGAAGAAACCTCCATGAGGAATGGATGCTCTGGGCTTTGGTGTTAAACTGAACCCTGACAACTGAGGCTGTGCTCCAGGCCTTGCTATGACCTGCCTGGTGGGAAGAGCACAACATGGGCGTGACAGCACGTCACCTTCACTCTGCAAGGACCACGCAGCCCTTAGCACAGGGTCTGCTCTGCCCTCGGAGCACCCTATGGTGGGCTATAGGGCCATCAGGAGCAGCACAACGATAGGGGCCTTTGCATCAGGCTCTGTTCCCTCTGTGCATCCAACCGAGGTGGGAGGCCAACCCCTATTTACCCCAAAGAGTGCCTTGCCAGAGCTTGTCAGGAGATGCTCACATCCACAGGTCCTTGTGCATCCCCCTCAAATACGAACCCAGCCCTAGATGGATCCATACATGGAGAGGGGGACACTGGGACACGCAACCAGTGCTTTTTGCCTTCAGAACAGGGCTTTGGAGCTGTTGTCCACTGGTGGCCCTTTCTCCTACCCCCATCCTGCCCCCTCTCCCATGCACCACGCTCTGACCTTCGACGAGCAGAGCCACGGACAGCGAGAGCCGGTCCAAGCCGAGCGGCAGCTTGAGCCGGGAGTGGGAGACGACGTCCACGATGCCGGAGAGGAGGAAGAAGAGGTAGATGGTGGTGTAGTGCCAGCGCGTGAGGTCGGTCCAGCCCCGCGCCTCGGGGCTGTACAGCTGCAGATGGGGCCCAGTGGGAACAAACTGCTCCACCAGCATCCCTGCGCGGAGAGGGGAGGAAGGAAACCTTCCTTCATAGGAATGGCTGCAAGCCCTCCCATGCCAACCCACCCCAAACATCCCCAGCCTCATGGGAGAAGGGATGCAGCGGCAGGAGATATTGGGGTGCATCACCACATCTTACCTGCTAGAGCAAAGAGAGCTTTGACCGCCCCTTCGAAGGCTTCCACGCGCTGGGTCCCGTGGCTCGGCTGGCTCCCGGCGTTGCCTTTCCTCCTGAGGTACCTCAGTGGGTACCGCACCGACCACCAGAGACCAAAAAGGAGGAAGAAGGTGCCCCGGAGGGCACTGCCGAGGAAACTCGTTGGCATCGGGCTCGCTTGCTGGACCTGCAAGGACAGACGGTGCCTGGGGCTGAGCCAAAGCATCCCCACGGAGCCGCATCCTGAGGGAGATCAGCTGCGAATGGGGAACACCAGAGGTGCTAGCACTGTATTTGGCCTCTCTCAAAGCTTCCTGCTCCTTTCCTACAGCTCAGATGTGCACAGGAGGAGGCGTTCCTCACCCTGAAGCTATCGCACCGCCTTGCCCTTGCATCACCAATCGCATCCGCGCCGTGTTTATAAATACCAAAGGGAATTGCAGAGGCTGGATGAACAACTCCAGCACGTTCTCCAGGTCCTCCCACACTAGAAAGTAATTAGGCACTGCAAAACGAGGGTAGGATGTGGTGTGGCAATGCTGCAGGTGAGGGAGGGCTCTGCAGAGCTGGCCCAGCTCAGGTGGGAGCGCGCATGGGCGATGCGCGGTGTTTGGATGCGGAAGGTAGCATCGCCCATTCCATCTCCACAGGGAACGTGGGGAAGGCCCAGACCTGTTCACACCACGTCAAGGTTTCCCTCCGGGATGGAAGTTACTGAGCAGCCTTCCAGGGAGATGAGAAACGCCCCATCCCAGGAGCTTGTTCAGGCACTGGGGATGGTTCCTGCTCTGTTTTGGATGCCTGCGCTAGGATTAGCTCATACTCCAGCCTGATTATAGCCCAGATCCTGAGTCCAGGGCACAAATCTTCCCTGCACAGACATCTCCATGCTGAAGTGACTGAGGACAAATGCCATTACAGCACATTTAAGCAGCACACAATTGCACCATCTATATCCAAATTCTACCATTGTCCTCCAGGGACTGAGGACAATGAAGCTGCAGTCAGGAGCACGCCTTGACAGAGATAGACATCAGGAGCTGTCATTTGGCATGCTTAACTGGAGGAGAGGAGGAGAACAGAGACATCCCAGCGCTCAGACATTGGAATAACACAACCAAGCTCCAGAGGCTGCTCCCAGCTTGAATGGGATCGCTCACCCCACATCCTCCAGGCATCCCCCCTTTGGCTTTAGGTACCAGCAGACCCAAACCACTCCGTTCCAGAGCTCTCCTTGGGATCTCCTACCCCAGCATCCCGCTCCCCTCCCCGATAACCTCACTCTTCACAGTGCCAAGGACCCTTTTACTTTGCAACCTCTTGGCAATGCTTTTGGTCCCTGTCAGGAGTCCCCTTTGCTTCCCACCACCCAGACCCAGTGCTCGAGCAGCCACCGCACACCCTGATGCATCTCTGGCTTGGCAGAGCTGTCCCAAACCAAGCAGAAACCCACTCAGAAGAGCCTGAAAAGGGCCTTTTTTGACCACCACTCTTTTGGAACCAGGTTCATTTCCAAGCAGCAGTGCCCTCTCTCAGCTCACACATTGGAGGTGCAGAACAGCATCCCCAGACACCCAAACCTGGTACCCCTTCACCCGCTGGCTTCTCCATCCCCTCCCTTTGAGTCCATGCTCACACAGAAGCTGATTAAAGCCCCAAGAGAGCTCCTGGGTGTTTATGCTTCCTGTGAGCTGCTCTGTCTGTCCCAGGACCTGAAATATGGCTGCAGTCAGAAGTTATTACCTGGGCTCCCAGCCTGTGATGCTTTTAGTTAACAGCCATACTGGAGCTGCCTGCTCTCCTCACTGTGCCTCCTGCTGAGCACTCACAGCATTCCCAGCCTCGGGAATAACAGCATTCCTGCCTGATTTCCAGGCTTTCTGTGTCCATCACCATCTACGGCCTCCTATGGGGCCTTGCTCCAGCTGATGCAGGCGGATCAATGCTGCTGGGGTGATGCCTTCCCATGTGGATGTATGAGCATCCCCATGGGTGCAAGCACAGGGCAACCAGCCTATAAGCAGAGGGCAAGTTCATTGCCTGGCCATAGATGCTTGGAGGGGCTTCTCTTTGTGCATCCTCCTCCACTTTGCTACCCAGGCACATCTCTCTTGTGCCAACAGCACCCACCCAAGAGGCACGAGCTCCCTCTCCTCCAAAACCTGATAATCCCCCCAAAACAGGGCTAAAGACACAGCTTGCTGTCAGATCTCCGCCAGCACCACGCTGAACCTTTGCCTTGCAGAAGGTGGACTCTCCCACGCATCCCTTCTTCCCAAGCTCAAGCAGCCACATCCATCCCATTGCAGAGCCTTTCACCTCTCTACGTGTAGGAGACTTTACCTGTGGCTCCTGCCCGTCCTCCTCCCGCTCCAGATGTGCCAGCGAGGAGCTGTTATTACTCACAGGAGGCAGATAAAGGGGAAGCCACCCCGGGGGAGGTGGCCCTCACACAGGATGTTTGGAGCTGAGCATCCTGCGGGGCAGTTCAAAGCACGCTGAGTCAACCCGCCTTGCCCAACCCGGAACACCTCGTGTCTGCCATTAACAACCAAATTCCAGCCTCCTGGAATTCGCCACAAGAATCAGGGCGAGCAGCCAGTTCCCATCCCCATGGAAACCAGGTTTGGTTCTTATGCTGAGAGGTTTTAGGGGGGCAAGGCTGTGGCATCGCCTGGCATGGAACGGCTCTAACCTGGGGTGCCAGGTACACAATAACCCTGTTAGGGGGGTCCGGGGTTATAATAAGCACCTGGAAGCAGGAGATTTGGGGCCAGGAGCTCACAAATCAGAGCCCTTGTGAGCTCCATCTCACAGCAGCCAAGGGGAGGGGAGCATTGGCCCAGGTTTAGCACCTCGATGGCTGTGTAGATGAGCAACGCAAGTGCCTCGAGGGAAATAGACAGCACAGACCCCTCCAGCATCCCCACTTCCCTCTGAAACACCAGGTTAATGGTGCAGAAACAGTCAGCACTGCCCAGATCTCCAGCTATGGAATGGTTTGTGTTGGAAGGGACTTTCAAGCTCGGGGACACCTTCCACTAGACCAGGTTGCTCCAAGCCCCGTCCAACCTGCCCTTGGTCACTGTAAAATGTGGGCGCTAACCATCACGCAGAGCATCCCCAACCCAGTGTTTCTATGCACAGCTCCTCGTGCAACCCACAATAACCCCAAAGAAGGCTGCAGGACCAGCCACGAGCCCCACACGTGAGGCAGGAAAGGCCCAGGGGTGGAGAACAATGCAGGGCTGCTCGCCAGCACAGCCATAAAAGCCACCAAGCTGTAGCCAGGAGCTGCTTTATGCCCTTTATCTCCACAATCAGCAGTAGGAGGCAGGAAGGAAAACAAGGAGCTGTGCTGTGCACACATCACTGCTCACCTCCAATCCTGCTCAGGGAGCAAGGCACGGTGCACAGGGCTCAGCACACACACACACACACAGGGTGCCTGTGCCATGGGGGAACCCAGAGCAGCATTGGGTTCACTTCATGAGCTTGCTACCACGTTAAACCTAAGCGGAGAGAGAAATTCACCCCTCAAAGGAGCAATTCCTTACAGACCTACCCTATAACACACGACAGAAACGCACCTTTCTTGATGGCAAAAGGGCAGCAGCATCAAGGAGCTCTTTGCAGCTCAGTTTTCCCTTCCCCAACCACCCAACTCAACAAAGCCTCAGCACGAAGGCATTTCCCAAGCAGGATGAGCGAGATCCTTGCAGGAAGTGGGGCAATGGAAGCTGGGAATGCAGCAGGTGCAGGGAGAGGGGAGGAAACGATGCTCAGCTGAAAGGGATCTGCTCAAAGGCTGATGATGCCATTTTCCATGGAGTTTAAAGGGCCAGGAAAGAGGAAAGCGTATAGAGGAAGGTGTCTATGGAAAAGGTAGCTTATGTTAAAGCCCCTGCAGTCAGACAGGGAAAGAAGTCATAGCTGGATGAAGTGGCGTGAGGAAAAGGGGTTTCTAGCCTGTTAAACCATCCCCATGACGGAAACAAGCATAAAACTATGACACCTGGATGGGAACACCATGGGGTACCCAGAGAAAGGATGACAATGTTCCCTCCGAATCACAGAGCAGGTCACTCACACACCACTGCAGGTGCCAATGGATGCAGCTCCATCACAGCTCCTTAGGGATGTGGAGTATCCCTAAGGATATGAGAGGTATCCATGGCAGGGGGTTGGAACTGGATGATCTTCAGGTCCTTTCCAACCCAAACCATTCTATATACGAGCCTGATGTCCTCTTCCTCCCAGGGAGACACGGAGGGATGCAGATCTGCATCTGACTTGCTCTTACCCCTCTAATGATCTCATTCCAGCCCCTCTAATGATCTCAAGCTAAACCCCAAAGCGCATTTCATTACTGCCCTCCTCTTTTCCCTTCTCCTCAGCTGGGAGCGCAGCATCCTCTCCCTGCAGGTTCCCCATCCAGCTAATGGGGAAGATGTGATAATGTTTGCCTGCCTCCCTGGGGGTGGGGGGAGGCACGGTGTAATTACAGGCTCGCCAGCAGCCCCGGCGCTGCAGATGGATGGGTGTTTGGGAAGTGCAGAGTGTTATTATTGTTATGACGAATGCGAGCGCTGCCTTTCATAAACAGGCACCAGAGGAGGTGAAGCAGGCGGTTAACAGCACAGGCAGGGCTTGTTCTGCTGCCTACACCATCGTTTCAGCTTACATAAAGGTGGCCAGGAAGGGTGGCAGCAGCAGATCCTATCTCTGCCAGGGAAATGAGGCCTTTTAAAACCAGCTTTGGATCTGGCTATGAATATACCCCCTATTCAACCCAATGGGTCCAGTACAAAGGCTGACTGGTAACTCAGCTGATGGTCCAGGACGACTGGGTGATGCTAAGGCTGTGTTAAAAGCACTACTCCCTTTAGTACCGTCCTGGCTCAAAGCAATGCTCCCTTTAGCATCTATACCATAACATATATAATCAGTGCGACAGCAGCTGGTGGGGGCACCTCGCTATATAACAAAGCATCTCTGGACCACTCACCATGCACCCAGCAACCTTCATGAGGCCTTTTGAAACCAGAGCTGCCTTTGACTACACATATACCCCATTCCCCTCCGGTGGGTCCAGTGCAAAGACACTAGGTAATAACTCAGTTTATATGGTGAAAATCAGGATGCAGGACAACCGGCCCCAAAAGCTGAGCTCTTTACAAACATGGTTTTCTCCTAGCTAAGAGGAACATGCTTATTCCTGCTCCAGAAGTGATCATCACCTGTATTCTCCCACTTAACCACAGGCTGCATCCCTGCTCCTTGGCTGACCTTCATACCTTGGGAAAGAATGTGCCCCAGAGCTGGAAAACAAATCAGGAAGCGCTATGCTGATGGTGCTGGGGTGTTTGCAGGAGCAGGGATGCATGAGGCTATTCCAGACACAGGGAAAAAGCTTCTTGTGGCCCCGCAGCGACAAGAGACAAAGAAAACCTCGGGGTGAAAGGGGGCAGCAGCTCCATTAGTAGCAGCCAAAAGAGCAGGGGAGGGTTGGATAAACCTTCTCCCACCTTCACAAGCAGGGAATAGCAAGGTCAGCCTTCCTCTGTGCTCCCTGCGGTGGGAATAACCTCTGCTTTCAGCGAGGGTGGCTGCATGGGGACTGACTGCAGCCTCAGCCAGCCTGGAGCACGCTGAAGGAGCCTTGCCTGGTGCTGCCCTCATGTGGCTATTGGACGGGAATAGGGATGCCGGGAGTGTTTTCCCAAGGGGAAAATAACGCGGGGATCCAGGCCTGCCAAAGGAAACCATCTCAGTGGGGACAACAGAGGGAAGCTGGGGTCCAAGGAGAGCCGGTTAGGCTTCATAGCACTGTGAATAAGCAATAAAACCCAGGTTAGAGCCCCCTTATTCTGCAAGAGGCTTTGCACAAGGATGCTCAAAGAGGAGCTTTGCTTTCCCTGCGTGTGAACAAAAGCTGCTTTCCTCTTACAGTCATGAGCAAGCACAAGCCCAGCTGCCATCCATCCCTCCTCTGGGAGACATCAGGGAGGAGGCTTCTGCGCAGAGCATCCTTCCGGCCCCAGGGTCTGAGACGTGGACAGATGCAGCTCACCTTGGGCTGGTGGTTATCATATCCATCCATCCATCCATCCATCCATCCATCCATCCATCCATCCATCCATCCATCCATATATATATATCTATATGCATCTTTTCCTCCTACTGAGGACATTTCCAGTCCCTTCCCTTGCAAGGAATTAGCTGGCAAAGGAAGGCTCAAAGCAAAATGTGTGCCTGTTTCCTCTCACATTGTGTTATTCCCAATGGAAAACCAGGATGGTTTGTGAATGCCTGCTGCTTAGCCGCCTGTCTTACAGTCCTTCAGGCTCTGCAGGTCTGAGAGATGGGCTTGCCGAAGCTGTTATCACGCACTCTATAATTCATCAGTCTTAAATGTAAGGATGTCAGCTCAGGGGGGATTTTTATTTCCCATTTATTCACTCTTTCAGCCTGTAAGTGGACAGGGAAACTACAAACAGCTCAGTGTTCAATAGCTCAGTGCTTCCGTAATGAAACCTGCTTTGTGCACAACCGAGCCGCAGTGGTGGTGCAAACCTGACATCAGCTCACACTCAACGCTCTTCCTCTTCCTCCTTGGGGTGATGCCTTGCTCCAGAGGTACGTGGTCTCAGCCTGGGGGTGTCCCTGACGCCAAGGACAGCAGGTCAGAGCCTCCATGCCCTTGGAAAAGTCAGGTGAAAGGGTGCCCTCCATCACCACAGGAGCACACATGGGAACCCGTGGGGTGAAGCGATCTCGTCACGTCCAATTCCCATGCCTAATTGTGTGGCTAAAACCCAGTGCTGGCTTAGAAAGGGCCAATATTGGGGTATGGATGGAGGGCAGCTCCCCGCTGCGTGCTTCCCAGCAGCAGAACGGTGCCACCTCCCCTTGCTCTCCCAAAGCAGGAATCTCCCATTGGCGTTGGGGTTTTGTCTTCTAGGAAGCAGATTCCTCACGTCTCTGGAGCAGGCGATTGCTCCCTCTTCACTCTTCATCGGATGCACTCAAGAAGGTGGCTTGGGAGCTGGGGTCACACTTCTGCTGCCGGACCCCGAGGCTGATGTAGGGCTCCCCGCTGCCTGCCCTGCGCCTCTGGATGCAGCTGGAACACACGAGCAGTAAATCACTGTTAGCAGAACCCCCAGCCGCTGCCACTCACCGGAATGCTCAAGGGAGCCCAATGCACTTGTACCGAATACAGAAGAGAAGAAACTATGATAGAGCTCCCAAGATGCTGTTTGGGTGGGAATTGAGGGGATTTTATTCTGTTTAATGTCTATTTGCTTGCCTAGACTACCCCATCTGTCAGCCATGGAATCATGGAGTGCTTTGGGTTGGAAGGGACCTTAAAGCTCATCCAGTTCCATGGCCACG